CTGTGGCAGCCCCTCAAATATTGGGAGACTGCTATCCTGTCTCCCCTGGTCTTTCTCTTCACTAGACTAGCCCTGCCCGGTTCCTGCAACTGTTCTTCATATGTTTTAGCCTCCAGTCCCTTAATCCTCCTGGTTGCTCTTCTCTGCACTCTTTCCAGAGTCTCAACATCTTTTTTTCATAGTATGGCGACCAAATCTGGGTGCAGTATTCTAGGTGTGGTCTTGCTAAGGCTTTATAGAGTGGTATTCGTACTTCCCTTGATCTTGATTGCATTTTCATTCAACCATCATTGATATTAGTGATTGCTTGTGGCCTGGTCTAGAGTGGATGCAGTTAGAATGGTTCCACGGAGACGTCTTCGGACAGCGCTGGCTCTTCGGCTTTGAAACGGAGATGAGCACCGCCCCCTAGAGTAGGGAACAACTAGCTCATATGTGCGAGGGGAACCTTTACCTTTATTTCGCCAACAAAGTCCATCACCTTTCTGCCTGTTCCTCATTTCTTCAAAGCTGAAGTGGTTCCACGCGAAGTGATTCAGCAGAAAACGTCGAAACACCCCCACCCCAACCCCCTCCCCGATTCCATGTTCTTGCAGTAGATCAAATGCTTTCCCAATTTGATGTCTTTGGCTGGATGAATCCAAGAAGGTTGTATGCTGCACTCTGGCTCTCTTAATTACAGATTGAAAAAAGCGATACCTTGACAGCCTATAAATAAGGGAGAGATAAGAAAGGGACAACCTTGTTCATGACCTCCATTCTGTGGAGAAACACTAGAGAATCAAGAGTCAGAATCAGCATTTTTTTCTGAATTCTAATGAAACTTCTGGATGCTTAGGCTAATTTGGGAGTACATCACGCTCATGACGGTGGTCTGTCTCTCCTCTTCAGAGCTGTTGCATTCGCCCCTCCCCAACTCTAAATTCTTACCATGCTATTCCTTCAAAGCCTTCTTCTCAAGAGGCCTCGCCTTGATGGAGATCATGGCAAAGAGTTCAGGCTCAGTTCGTGGACTACCAAGAGAAGATTTGAAGGGGGGAAAAAACACATTTTGTACAGGACTAGGATTGGTATTGCATTGAATCGAAGAGCTCTCTTTTCCGGAAAAAGAGACTAGGGCCGAGATAGTAAACCAGGGGTGGGTTCCTGCCAGTTCTAACCTCTTCTATAGAAGAAGTTCCACAAATCTACCGTGCCATTTAGAACCGGTTCCAGTTCTCTCCCCCCTGCCCGTCCGCACATCATCAAGATGAAGAGCGAGAGGAGGAATTCTGGGAGTTGAAGTCCACAAGTCTTAAAGCTGTCAAGTTTCAAGATCCTTGCACCCCTAACCCTTTAGACCACCACCCCCCGCCCTGGGGAGTTCAAACTTGACAGCTTTAAGACTTGTGGACTTCAACTCCCAGAATCCCTCCTCTCGCTCTTCATCTTGATGATGTGCGGACGGGCAGGGGGGAGAGAACTGGAACCGGTTCTAAACGGCACTGTAGATTTGTGGAACCTCTTCTATAGAAGAGGTTNAAAGTACTTTTTAATTCCACGAACAATGGAGTTGGGAGTTTTCTTTCTTGGCTACTGAAGGTGGCACACCGGACATTAAGCCTGACACCACGTGTCTGAAATTTGATCACATGTCCATGAGGATGTCACATTGGTTATAAGTGTGGAAAAAACGGTCATAAGTAACTTTTTTTAGTTGTACGTTTGAAAGGCACTAAACCAACTATTGTAAGTCAAGATTTCCTCTATTTAAGGAAAACAGATCGGTGTCGTCTCAAAGCTACTGAGAAGTATGAAGTCACCCTAGTCCACCAAAGAATTGTTTGGCTCAGTTTCCAGGAAGATCCTCCCATGAACATTTCACTTCCAAAGTCCTCCTGGCCAAGACAAGGTCAAGTGCTGGAATTGCTGGACTGGAGCTTCAAGCTGTTGGAAGTCGTGCACTGCAGGGATTTCGACCTGCGAGACTGCAGCACTTTGGCCAAGTACCAAAGGAAGATGAAGAAGCCTGGGGAAACAGGAGAAGATCACAGATGTTAAGCAGTTCCTGGAAGGGATTGAGGAATTTGGACACATGAATAAAAGTGCAGTGTAATGTAGTACCATAGGAAGAACCTTGAGGAAAGGAGGAAAAGCTGCAGCCAAGGCAACAGATAGATAAAAGGAATTTGAGTCCAGGGCAGAAATGTAATCTGAGAAAGCACGTCAGAAAGGAACCTGCCTAGTTCACGTAAAGATAAAGGGAGGTGGAAATGTAAGCAGGCAGACTTGCATGTTTCTGTTACTATAACCTTATCATAAAAGTAGACAATAGATAATGGAATGATAGAGTTGGAGCTAGAGAAACCGGAAAAGATCACAGATGTTAAGCAGCCTCTGAAAGGAATTGAAGAATTGCAAGGCCAGAATAGCAGCAGGGTTGAGGGCTGTTGACCATCATATGCTGTAGAGCAGGGGTGTCCAAACTTCAGAACTTTAAAACTTATGGACTTCAACTCCCAGAATTCCATAGCCAGCATGGCTGGCTGGGGAATTCTGGGAGTTGAAGTCCACAAGTCTTAAAAGTTGCCAAGGTTGGATACCCCTGCTGTAGAGGGACTGAAATCCAGAGGACATATATTTATTTGTTGGCAATTTCTCTATATGCAGGCCATTCCTGCAAGCAAATGAACACCGTCGTACTACGACGGGCCAGTGTGATCAAAATCTGGAAATAAATGATGGTTTTCAGCAAAACTGTTGCATACCATGGAAGCATCGTGATTAGTCCTGCAGGCTATTTCTTCTGACTGCAATTTGGCCGTTCGAATCTCACCAGGTTCAGGGCTGACTCAGCCTTCTGCCCTTCCAAAGTGGCAGTGGTGGTTTCCTAACAGTTCAGCCAAACTGGCAGGAGTTTGGAGGCCTGGATTGCTGGAAGTGTTAGTGACCCAGGCCTGCCACGCCTCCGAACTGGTTCTCCCGGTGTTGTCATAGATGGCCCCATCTTGCTCTTTGCTTCTACACAAAGCAATTTTCGATTGTACTGTGCATGCATGCGTGGGGCGCATCCCTGAGCGAACCGGCAGTAGTGGTTGCCGGAAAACACCACTGCGAGGTGGGTAAAATGACCCAGATTGTTGGGGGGCAACATGCTGACTCTGTAAACCGCTGAGAGAGGGCTATAAAGCACCATGAAGCAGTATAGGTCTAAGTGCGATTGTTATACTAAACAAAAACTTGTAGGGACTTTTTCAAGTAGATTTAACTCATCCAACATGCCAAGATGGTAGCCTGGGTTTCCACATTGAACCACAAACCACCTACCTCATTTTACGTAGTCTAGAATGCTCTGCAAATCTACCCTGTGGATAGTGTGGGATAAGATAACGATTGCCCCCAAATCATCCAATAGGAATTGTCTTCTCCTGAAGTCCCAGCTGCTCCACCTTTACCACTAGAGTTGTTATATCTGGCGGATTGGTTAGATCCATGAGATTCGTTCTACTTGAAGCCTTTGTCTACCTGGAGATGCTGGAAGTCGATCTAAGACTTCTCCAGGCAAATCATGGGTTTTACCTACCATCCTCTAGGACAGGGGTCCCCAAACTTGGCAACTTTAAGAGCTGGCTAGATACTTCTGGGACTTGAAGTCCACAAGTTTTAAAATTGCCAAGTTTGAAGACCTCTACTCTAGGATCTGGTTCACTTACAAATTAAATCAATAGTTCTCAGTCTTGGCAATGATCAGATGGGTGAACATCAACATTCAGGATTCTGGAGGTGGAGTCCATCCCTCTGAAAGTTGCAAGGTGTGGAAACATTAAATTAGGTTGAATACATTTCAAGTTAACAGTGACCTCCATATTACACAACAGCCCAAAGGTAGGAGACCAGAAGCAGTCATCACCCTATGACCTTGAAGAGAGTTGTTGACTGTTGTGGCCTGTTGATCGTGGGTACCTCCAGCAGCTGAATCAGAGGAGGAGGCATGGGAATCAGGGTCAGCATCAAGGCAACCCGAGAGCTCCAAGGGGAAAGAGGGAATGGAGCTGGCAGAGAGAGAGAGACAGAGGCAGAGCCTGGGCTGTCAATCAGCCCTCAGATGGAGAGCCAACAGCCTCCAGGTCTGGAGGTGGCTGATGAGGAAGAGGAGGAACATCTGCCTGATGTGTGGATGCGCAGAAGGCAGAGGAGAGGAGAGGAGAGCAGTGGAAATCTCTGAACCGGTCCTGGGGATGGAAGAACCACCACTTCTGGAGAAGCCCCACTCTAGTTCTGGGGATAAAAGGCAGGGGGTGGAGATGAATAGTTGTGGCAGACAACTATTGCCGGGCAGACTTGTTAGCCTGCAGTGAGAGAGAAACTTTTTGCCAGAGCTGATGGCGCTCCTGATAAAGAAATATTTGAGTTCACCTCCGAGGGTTTGACATGTTTGGTGAGCTGGGTCAGAACATTGACAGTGAAAAGTTAGACGAGCAACAACGTGATTATCCCATCCTCTTAGGATCTGCTTCACTTTCACAAACTCGGATTGAATTGAAAAGAGGAAGTCACAGAGCAAAAATGCATCTCTCTCTTGTGTTGCGTGAAAATCCAGGGGAAAAACATCTGGCAAAGTAACAGATCTCAAGACTAAGGGGAGCAGGAATACTCACTGACCTTGGAGAGAGTTGATGATGGTGAAAAGATAGAGGGCCACCAACTCAAAGGTCCCGGAAGCAAACGCAATGAAGATCAGCCCCCAAGGGATGCCCAGGACGCAGCTCAGGCCCAGGAGCATCACTGCATATCCCCATTGATGCTCTCGGTGTCTCAGCCTGAGAATCTCATACACCATGGTGCCCAGCATGATGGTGTTGAAGAAGAGCACCAGGCTTAAATAGCCCAAATTGAAGAAACTGTTGATCTCCTTCTTGGTAACCCAACAGCTGAAGAAGAGAAAAAATATAGAAAGGTGAGTCTAGGCACTACTTAAGTAGCTGGAAGACACAATCTGGAATGTGAGCATTCAAATAGGCTGGGGAATTTTCTGGAAGTTGACACCTTCCCAAAAAACAGGAATTCCTAGGATTCTCCAGTGCCAATCATGAATGTAAGGCATCCCACCCTCTTTGTGGCCTCTGATCATTCCCTGATTCCCTCGTTCTCCACGTTCTCCAAGAAACCTGATTGATGGAAATGATGATGTTATAGTATTACCTGGTCACAGGCAGTGGTGAAATTCAAAAAAAATTGCTGCTGGTTCTGTGGGCATGGCTTGGTGGTTATGTGACCAGGTGGGTGTTACTGCACAATTGACTCACACTCACAATATAAAAGCAGCTGGACTTCACACAAAATGCCCCCTGCAACAAGCAGGAACCTCAACAGAGTCCCAGAGAGCTCAAAAACCAACTATCACACTTTACACAAAAATAACACAAAAGCTACACAGCTGACTCACACACAATGCAAAAGCAGCTGGACTTCACACAAATGCCCCCCACCCCCAACAAGCAGGAACCTCACAGACAACCAGGTATAGCTGATTGTCGCACAGCTGATCATTAGTAAAGAAAATGCTAAAAAAGTTTTTTAAAAAACTGCCCCTAACCGTAGCATTTCACCCCTGGCTACAGGTGTTTTTATAATGACACACATGGGACCAAACAATGGGCTGTGCTAAGGAGGCAGGAGGTGTAATGAGCCTAGCTGTAATACATCTTGATAGAATCATAGAATCCCAGGCCTGGAGGAGATCTGCAAGATCTTCTAGTCCAACCTAATGTCCAAGAGCTTATACCAGGAGTCCCCAAACTTGGCAACTTTAAGACTTGTGGACTTCAACTTCCAGAAGTCCACAAGGCTTAAAGTTGCCAAGTTTGAAGACCTCTGGCTTACACCATCCTGGACAAATGTTGCCCAAACTTTTCTTGAAAACTTCCAGTGCTGGAGCATCCATCCATCTATCCAGCCATGGAGCACATTCATGATATGAGATTAGAATAAATGAATCAGGGAAATTATGATACAGATGACATTCAAATGTTGAGGCTGGAACTGAAGGGGAGAAAGGTATTCTGTGTAAACATTTATGCTCCACCCAGACAACAAGTAATGTGGGATAACCTGCAAGAGTCTTTAGTCGACATGTTACATCAATGATTTAACTGTGACCTATTACTCTCTGTTTATACGTACCTTATGAATTTATGCACCAGAAACAAAGGCCTTGTGTATCCAATCACACATTGCCAATAAGAAACTCTATGACTATTTATGAGGACGTTAACGCTAGTATTGACCCAGATTTGGTAATACTGAATCTAAAGGATAGACTATATTGAATTGGTGGCCACTTTCCCTCTGAGACATATATCTTATGATAAAACTCAAAATAAACACAAATTAGAACTACATAAATTAATGTCAAAAACACGTGAAGGGTTAATACCACTTTATAAAGCCATGGTAAAGCCACACTTGGAATACTGCATTCAGTTTTGGTCGCCATGGTGTAAAAAAGATGTGGAGACTCTAGAAAGAGTGCAGAGAAGAGCAAGAAAGAGGATTAGGGGACTGGGGACTAATTTGTGTTTATTTT